ACTTCCGGATATGTGGGCTTCTGAAACATGAATGAGAATGTCACCATAAATCTGTCACCCACCCTGAGCTGGTGTTACTAACCCAGGGAAAACATTGGCCCTTCTAAATGGCCAGAGATGAGGAGGAGGAGGAGGTGGAGAAGGAGGAGGGGAAAGAAAAAGAGAGAGAGAGAGAGAGAGAGAGAAAGAGAGAGAGAGAGAGAGAGAGATGGGGAGGAAGGGAGGGAGGGAGGAAGAGAAAGGGAAGGAAAGGAAAGGAAAGGAAAGGAGAAGAAGGAAGGAAAGAAGGAAGGAAGGAAAAGGAAGGAAGGAAGGAAGGAAGGAAGGAAGGAAGGAAGGAAGGAAGGAAGGAAGGGAGGGAGGGAGGGAGGGGAAAGGGAAGGAAAGAAGGAAGGAAAGGAGAAGGAAGAAGAAGGAAGGAGAAGGAAGGAAGGAAGGAAGGAAGGGAGGGAAGGGAGGGAGGGAGGGGGAGGGAGGGAGAGGAGGGAGGAGGAGGGAGGGAGGAGGAGAGAGAGGGAGAGAGGGAGGGAGGAGGGAAAGGAAGGAAAGGAAAGGAAGAAAAAGGAAGGAAAGAAGGAGAAGGAAGGAGGAAGGAAGGAAGGAAGGAAGGAAGGAAGGAAGGAAGGAAGGAAGGGAGGGAGGGAGGGAGGGAGGGGAGGAGAAGGGAGGGGAGGGGAGAAGGAAGGAAAGGAGTCATTCAGATGTGGAGTCAGAGTGGCAGAGCAGAAAAGCAGGGGCTCTTGACTCAGTCTGGAGATATAGGTCACACCTCTCTGTGCTGTGTGATTTGGGACAAGTTACAATAGGTCATTATAGGTCTCAGATCCCACATATGGCAATAAAAGACCTCACATAGTCTCATACTAAACAAAGGTGCAGGATGCAGAGCCTGTCACCCGGCATTGTGGTCCCATGGACTGATACTGGTCCAAGGCTTGCTAGGGACCAGGCCTCAGAGCTCTGCTGCCCCCATGCCACTCCCCCTGCCCTCCGTCTCCACCCCCTGTCTATGGAAAACTGAATTCCATAAAACTGGACCTTGGTGCCCAAAAGGTTGTGGACTGCTGACCTAGCAGATATCCACAAATGGTGGTTGTCACCGATATTTCGCACCCCCAAAAAACCCTCTCACACAAACACACACTGAGAAAAGTAATAGTTCATGTGCATCAAGCACACCTAACTTGCTAGGAATGGGGCTGAACCTCACAGCATCTTATGACAATAATTTTCAGCCAGGATTCTAAGTGACAATCAACAGAAATCAACTTGGGACAACTTAAGCAAAACAAACGCACAAATAAAGTCTATTCAGAAATAATAGATGCTTATGAAAGACTCTCTAGGAGGGCAGGAGAGCCAGGCTTGCGTACTTTGAGCCCCAGTCCAAGCCCAAGATTATTTCCCAGGACTGGTTTTGTGAAAAGACCCAGAGCTGTTGCTACGCATAGTCATTTCAGCTTTGATGTTAGATGCTGTCCCTGGTACTTGGGGAATTGGCATGGGTTGTGGCCACTCTCACTGCCCTCATCAAAATGGTTTCTGCAGAATCCTTATGTCTCACCACCACTAGCTTCTAATTCAAAGTCTTGGGTTAGTGTGTCTGATTGCAGGGGAAGAGGGAAGGCCTATGTTGTCTACCCACATGCAAGCTACACAGGAATGGGAGAACGAGATGCTTGGATCTTCCATTGCTCTAGCAAGGATTAGGCCTCCTGCCTCATCAGGAGAATTATTCACTAGGTCTAGGAAGCAGATACAGATAGTATGAGCCCCCAAATATTGGTCAATATCTCCCACTGCTGGTTTCTAGGAATTCTACCATTTTCTGGAAGATAACGTTGAGGCTCAGCCCAGGTCACACATCTATGCCATGGTGTGTCTTATCTCTTGGCCACTATCTTGGTCACTGTCTTCACAAACGATATGATAGGAACAGTCTCCATCTCAGCAAAGCACCCCACACTCTACTCTCACCTCTCTGACTCATGAAAGCTCGGTGTGCTGGGAGCCAAAGGTTCATTGTCTGTTGCTCAGCCATTCCTTTTAGAAGGAGATAGTTTTCTAGACTCAAGCTATGGGGTTTGTCCTTGGAATGCAATTCCTGGGAGCAGGGATCTCTGGAAGACTCCTTTCTTCCTGGGATGTCTGCATCTCAGTGTCTATAATGGGACCATGCCAGTGAAGGGCAAAGCTGAGGTCCTTCCTCTGACATAAACCCCACTCCATATGCAGGGGTAACAGACAGCCCTCCCTGGACACTGTCTACAGCACTGACAGTTTTGTATTCCATTCCATCGATTCGTTATGTGAATTGCTTTATAACAATATTTTTCTCATTCAACCCTAAAGCCTGCAAGACTGGGAGCTGTCTTCTTTGCAGCTTAGCATAGTGAACTCTGGAGTCAGACTCTCTTGGTTTAAACCCCAGCTCCACCACTTAACTGTGTATTCTTAGCTCACCATCCCATGTCTCAGCTTCCTCTTTTTTACAAAGTAGTGCAATAAAAGAGTTGTTATGAGAATAAGAGTTTATAAATGTGCTTGGGATATAATAGGTGTTTAGCAAATATTATTTAATATCAGCAGCAGAGCCCTTAGAATCTGGTGGGGGATAACAGTCTATAAAACAGACCTATGAGCATCCCAGTCTCATCCTCTTGGTAACATTTTCACCTTCATTCCTTTCCTCTTAAACACCCAGTTAACACAGTTTGAAAAACACAGATCTAGTCCACAACAGTCATTTTGGCCAAAGTAAAGAAGGAAAAGTAAGGGCTGAGGAGGAAAGGCAAGCTGGGGCTAGACTGGCAGTCCAGGGCTGTTTCCATCAGAGTCTCCTGGTCCCTACCGCTGTATGTTCCAAATGCAGTTCTTCTTCTAAGAAATGGTGGACCACATCATAATTTTCACCAACTGGAAAATAATTTTCACCTACTGTACCAGGCTCCAACAACCAAGATTACTAAAGGCCCCAAATCCATGGAACGGGTGTTGACAAACTTTGTAGGTAACGGACAAGATAATGAACATTATAGGTTTGGGGGCCATAGAGTCTCTGTTGCAGCCACTCGACTCAGTCATTATACCATGAAAGCATTCTAAACAATATGGAAATGAATGAGCATGGCTGTGTTCCAATAAAACCGTATTTACAGTTATAGGCAGTAGGCCAGTTCTGGCCTGTGGGCCATAGTTGATAGACCCCTTCCATGGACAGTGAACTTCTGCCTGTAAAAGGTTTCCTTAATTTTGTTTGTTGTCACATAGGTCTAAAGCAACACAGTGTATGTATGTCAGGGCTCAAGTACCTCTTTCAGGGTATCATATCCTACTTTCACCATATCCTACAGTCTTCCCAGAAGCACCTAAGTTACATGCTACATTAGTGAGAGTGAAATAGGCAGATATTTCCAGAATGGTCTGGGAATAATGCTGGTTGCCCTGAGGATGATGGTAAAGGTGAGGGTTTGGTTTCAGTAGGGCTCCGAATTACTAGGAATTCAGCCACCCACCTTGGAAATCTCACACATTCCAAGCTCTTAGAGATCACTTGACCCTATCATTTTGATTTACAGGTGGCGAACTGAGGCCCAGAGTAGAAAAGCAACTTGGCCTGCTTTAAGCAAGTTCTGAGCACACCACCGTCTGGTTTTCTTAATTTTAGTCCAAGGTTCTTTTCACCATACCACTAGGCTAGTATCAACCAAATTCAACCCAAGAGAGGAGAGAAAAAAAGTCTGCAACTGAAAAACCCAAGGTCCTATCGAAAATCCCATGTCTTTCCTCCCTAAGCACCTTCCTTTCTTCCAACCAGAAACTTTTGCTGAGCACCTCTGTTCTGTTCAGCCCCCATGGGGTGCCAAGGATATAGTCGGTGAGCAATGAATGGGTGTTGAGAACTGAATATGAGATAAATGATACATGGTTTTACCCTCACAGAGCTCAGGATCTACCAGGAGAAAGAATGTCTAAATGTACCCCTGCAATGCACTGCAGATGCCAGGATGCAATGACATCTCCCCTGCTTCAGTCCTCCTAGAAAATTGCCTTTCGGTGAGAAATCTTCCCACCAAGGTTTTCGCCTGCTCTGTAGCTGCCCCCTCCCTCTTCAGATAGAGCACCTCTGTCTTTTGTACTTGCAAATGAATTGTGATTAGTTTTCACCTCCAGCCCAGGGGATTAGCTGGAGGACCTTTGATCTTCAGGTATCGATTTGCATCTTAAAGGAAGTATGATCTCATCTGGGCCAGCTCAAAATTCCATCCCTACCCCCAACCCCTGTCTGTTTACCAGCCCCAGGCTGGCCAGGGCCTCCCAAGTGGGGCTGAAACAACAAGATAGCCAGATTGCAAGAGAAGGCAGAGGAAAACAAATTTCCCAACTGACTCCATAAAGGTGGGAAAAGGACATTTGCTTTCTAAACACAGGCTGGTCTGCTATTCCTCTTCCCTCTGATCTGAGAGACTGCCCAAGGTTCTGCGTCTGCAGAGGGGACCCCGTGCTTCCTAGATCCTGGCTAGAGGTTGCGCCCCAAAATGAGCTGAGCAGGCTGATGAGAATCAGGTTAAAGTCCTGGCCCTTCAGCCACTGCTGACTTGTATGACTCCAGAAGAAGTTTTATAATCTTTCTAGCTTCTGATTTTTTCTCATCTGCGAAGTAACAATAAAAGCCTTAAACATCTATAAATAATAGCCACCCTGGACAGCTGGTATGAAGAAAAGCAATAATATTTGTAAGGTAAAGCTTGATCCAAAAAGTAACCTGTCATTGCCATTATCTACAAGAACATAAGCGTTTGAGGACTTTTTGTTTTTTTCACTGCTGTATTTCCCCGATGCCTAAAAACAGTTCCTGGTACAGGAGGCACTCAATAAATGTGTTTAATATAAAGGAGTGAGTGGTGATGTAGACATAACTATTGTTGTTACTGTAATTGACCAGCTATTCCACACCTCCCACTTCTCCAGCCAGGCCCTGAGAAACGGCAGAGACTTACCAATGCAATTGAAGGAAATTTCTTGTCGGCAGAAAAGGGAGCAGCCATCACCGTTGATCTTATTCATGTCATCGCATTCTTCACCTTGGCTTCTGCAGAACCCATACAAAAGAGAAATCCCACAGATCAGTTTCAGAACTGTGGCCAGACACCTGAAAAGTCCCTCTCTGGGCCGAGAACCTTTCCTGAGACCTTGGACAGATCCCTTTCCCTGTCTTGAGTCTCTGTTTATTCAGCTTCAAAATAAGACTCATAAAAGGTGTAGATTTTACAAGATACTATTCCATTCGTTTGTGTGCCTGATGACAAAGTAGAATTCCTGCTTCTCATTCTCTGAGGTTTCAAGTGAGTTAATAAGGCAGATGGGAGTAAGAAATGGATAAATAGATGAACTAATAAATGAACAGACCTAGTTCCCACAGTGTCTAGGAAATCTTACTGCCATTTCCGTGTTTCTGATCTTAAAAGGACAAATTTGAAGGCCATGTTGTAGATTCTATAATATGAATGTTTCTTCACGATTCCCCGCCTGGATATTGCCCTACTCCCCCAGTGCACTGGAAGGTAAAGACTTTTTTCCATTCGCATGCTTGAGTTTAGTCACTCTTTCATTGGCAAGTTTTGCATTCTCCCTTGGGTGTGTCATTGCATGGTGTCGAGAACTCCAAGGCCTGTGGGATGATGCTACTAAGAAATAAAAATGCCTCCTCTTGTTTTCGTTGGAATTATTTCCATCACCTAAGGATGATTTTCCAAAGGTTGGGTGGTATGTGCAGAAAATGAGCAATACTCTTTAAATTGGGCTTGGGCAAGGAGTAGGAGGAGAAAAACCTGAAATTCTGGATGGATTGTTGCTTTCTGGAAAATTCTCATCCTTTTGAAAACAGAAAACTTGGCTTTAGAACCCTACACTTCAGACTAGCTGTATGGTCTTGGGTAAGTTACTTGACTTTTCTCTGATCTATCCGTGATGACCTAAATTTAGATAAAATAAAATATAACTAAAACTCCATTCTTCAGTCACAGTGGCCACATTTCAAGTACTCATTAACTATATGTGGCTAGTGGCTACTCTATTGGACAGCACAGAATATGTTTCTATCACTGCAGAAAACTCCATTGCACAGTGCTCACAGTGCTCTTGTAGACAGGTGTTGGGCCTCAGTTTTCTCATGTGTTAAAATGGAAATAATCAGGCCTAATCCTTAGAGTTTGGTGCAAGAATACAATGTCACAGTGTGTGGGATATAGTAGATGCTCAGAAAATCACAGTTCCTGTTCCCACTTTGCCTTAGGAGGTCTGTACAGAGTGTGTGTGTGGCAGTTGTCCCTCCCTCCTGGGAGACCAGCTGGGACCTGTCACAGCATGGAGTAGGCTTCAGACATCTCCTTTCACCAGGGCAATTAACACTGGGCAATGTTTGCTGCTTTTAGGAGGTGTTGGAGTAGCAGGATAGTGCCACGCAATCAGTCCTTAAGATGGCTAGGACACTGCATTGATCTCCAAAGAGCCACCCAAGTTCTCTCCTGTCTGCAAACTCATGAGCAAAGAAGAAGTCCATATTCCTAGCTGGCCTCAGAATTCTCTGCCAGTGAATCTTGCTGGCTGGAAATTGCTGGTGACCTTGGGCTTCTTAGCTATTTCACGGGTTGTCTGGGAAGAAATTTTTCTCATTCTTTTAAACCTTGGCTAGTTCCCTAAGCTATAAAAATTACTTCCAAACTGCCTTCTATCACCACTCAAACATTAGGGTCACCACACATATCTTCTAGGCATGACAGATCTATCACTAGACAAAAGGGTTCTGAGAAACCTTCCTTGATCTCTTGGGCTGGAGCAGGTGACCATCTTTCTATGTGGCCATAGATATCTTGCTCCATCAATAACAGCAGTTGTCAAATTGTTTCTGCCTATTACTTGACAGCCCCCCATACTAGGACATAAGATGCCAAAGGAAATGGCACAGTCTTGTCATTTCCTAGCACCTCTGTGCCTGGCTCAGTGGCTGGGATGTAGCAGACAGCATGTAGCCACGCCTGTACTTGCTAGGTTTGCAGGGTTGTAACATTACATGGCCATGCAGTGGTGAATCCAGATAAAAGCTTAGCTCTCAGTTCACATAATGGGGTTCTACTCCTTACTGGGTGTGTAAGCTTGAGAAAAACTCTTTAATCCCTTTGTGCATTAGTTGTCTTTTCTGTAAAGTCTGATCATAGGATCCTTGTATGCTTGTTGGGAGAACTCAAAAAGATAATAATGTAGCACAGTGCTTCGTGCATAGTAGAAGTTCAATAAGTTCAATAAATATTCATAAATATCATTATCATGATATTCATCCAATGTCTTCATCTTTATACTATACATGAAATTGGGATGATCTGTTGCTGTGAATCCTTTACAACTGAGCCTTCTCATCTATTAGGAACCTCATTGAATGCTGAGTCTATCCATATTTCTCTGTAAATTCCCTTAGAGATACAGCAAATTGGCATGTATCATCCCATGAAAAATCCTATTGGCTAAGATGATACCCATCCTTTTCCCCAAAGTTTTCCTTTTTCTTTCTCCTTTTTTCCTTAGGGAAACATCCATAAGCTGCATTTAGTTTTCTACAAAGTATATCAACAAATATTCGGTATCTGTAGGTAATTTAACTAGTATTTGATGTCTATGTAGGTTACCAATTCTAGGTAAAAGTACTAAAAACTGTATTAAATTAAGAACACTACTGAAAATTAATAACAATGATGATGATAATAGTTTTACATCAGAGAACAGAATGATAACGTCTGCAGTGTTTTTCCAGTGCATTTATATCTGTCTGCAAAATGGATAGACTAAGCTATAGATAAGGCTCCAAATCGTCTTTTAAAAAAAAATTGTGCTGAATTAGAAAATCCCAAATCACAATTGTGGGTTGTCAGCAATAACTGCAAGTGTTTTTGGAATATTCTAGATATGCAGCTCAATCCTGGACTGGCAAATGATGGGGTACTTGCTCCATAGAGATCACTCTGCTTAAGTTCAGTGCTCCATCAGACAAAAGCTGTATCAAAGGCTGGAAGTTGATACTTTAATTTGGGACCGAGCAGTGAAAGGTTTTCCTTTCCTCAATTTTGTTGCATTGGAAACTATATAATCTTATTCTGTTGCTGCATTTTGACGTGGATCTTAAACACACATAACATCATATATTATATTTAATACAACACATCATTAATTTTATTCTCAAACCAGTGAGAAGCTGTATATTCTGTGCTTGAGGAGTCAAATTCTTGGCAATTGCCTGATTTACACCATAATTCAATACTTAAAAACCCTAAACAGTATCACCTCAATATTAAAATTTCAACATTTCAGATATAAAGTTATAGGTGCAGAACATTTAACACATAAATCTATATCCCTGAGATACACTGCATCAGCGGAGCCACTTGAAATCATGCAAATAACTGTCAACTTGTCTTTTCAGTACCAATGTTTTTCAAGAATGTCATTCCTTGTGCCAAAAACTTGAATTATACCTTTCCATGAACAGTTGGCATACTTCAGTGGGTGGGGGGCAGAGAGGGGAAGACTCTTGTATACACGACTATCTTTTTGAATAGCAAGTTGAAAAGACGAAACTCGCTGGTCCTTATTGGGTCCTATTTTCAACATCCCTGTTTCGTTTAATGCTAAGTCATGATCAGAAAGCATACTGCTGGCCAATAACTGATGTCTTTGTGGACCGGTAGTGCTAGGCTAACTCTTTTCACTTGCATCACTTCATCGTCCTTGCTATACTGCTAGCTGGTCCTTCCATCCCGAAGCAGAGGTTTTCAGTTTACGTTATGTACCGCAAGATCATCAGTAACAAATTAAAGTGTTCTTCCCCTTATCTGAGTGATAAACACAAAGCAATCGTCATCTAGCACTGCTTTTTCATACATGTACTACACCTATGAGCTGATTCATGTTCTGCACATCAGTGGTTTCATCCAACTGTGAAGCAAATTCTTTCTTTACGCCACCCCTCCCCCCACAGAAGTAGTAATTGCAATACCATATTGCACAGATATTATGTGACACCCAGCAGTGCTATTTAATGAAGGAATTTTGCCAATAGCTTGTTTTGCCATCTCCACATATAATGTTTATCATTAAATCTGTCAATAGTTTTAGAAGTCTCTTAGCAATAGTGTTACTTGCAAAGAAATATTTTAGCACTCAGGAACATAATTTTAGCAATAACGGCCTTAATTTTCAATGATTATTAGTCTCTTCTCCACCTCTAGAGACAAAACTCTCAACTTTGTGCCAGAAAACATTTTTTTGTGCTTATTCTGGAGGAAAAGAACTCAAAAAAGTTTATTTATTGAGTTTTAAACAATGGGAACGTCTTGATGGCTTCTTGCCCCTATTTGGCAGTTGCATAACGTCTTGTCCTGAGGACAAGAGGATGAATAGACTGATAATCTGACAAAAATCCGTTTTTAGACATGCATCTTTGTGTCTTCCAATCATAATTTTCTTTTTTGGCTGGAGTCTTTACTTAGTGAATCATTTGCCTCAGTGTACTCACATTCACATTCAATATTTCCTCCAGAGTACTGTTTTCTATTTATAGCTTAAACTTATGGTGAATTGGAATACTCTGCTATTTTTACAGGCCTTTGACCCATTTCGCAAAATGTTGATACAACAGAACACGACAGAAATAACAAATAAATATGCAGTTTTAACAGATGTAAATGGTATCCAGCAAACCATGTGAAAGTGTTTTAACCTAGAGGAACTGTATCCAGCCAACTGAACGTGGGCCATGGTGCAGAAGACTAAGAGAACCCTTGTAGCACACACAAAACGATTAATAACAAGAGCAAATGGTAGTAAGCGCACAGTGGTAGCTCTGTCCAAATCACACATTCTATTACATACTTGAGAAATGCATGTGTTCCAAAAAGAGTCATCGCTTTTCTTCTGAGGACAGCAGTTGGAAGACCAACTGATAAACTAGTGGGGATACTTGGTAACTCACAGATCATATATTGAAGAGTATTTCATAAGCATTTGTGGCAGTAATCTGATCATTTCAGCACCCTAACCATCTCTTGGCCTAATCAGCGTCCCTTCTCCTCTTCTTTCTTCAGCTAGATCTACTTACTTCTGGATAATTCCGTCACCGCAGTACCCACTTCCATGGGTGTATACGGCAGCAGGTGATGGCTCACTCTCTTCAGTTCCCGAAATGGTTATGACCCGATACTGGTACACACTGCCAAGACTTAGATTTCTGGAAAAAATATAAAGAAGACTATTAGCTATGCAAATACAACGCTGGGGGCAGACAAGGAGAGAACAGAAAATCGATCCCCTGGAGTACATGTTAGTCTTGCTCATTTTTGAAATCAAATGCACATTTAGTTATCTAATGATTTTTACTGACTACTATGGTTGAGGCACTATTTTTATTGTCTACTATGGTTAAGGCAGTCTGCTAAGCATAATAGACTACACTAAAACGTACAGCAGTAATAACTAACATCAATTGACTGATTAATAGCCGTGTATGTTACTAGGTGCTTTTTCTATCTTTAATTGAAGCTTTACAAAAACCCCCAGTGGAAAAGTATCAGATGGTGTGTGACCCATAATGAAGGTGTTTGAGAGAAAGCCATCCAGGAAAAGTAAATATGATAAGCAAAAGCAGAGAGGTGGGAAAGCCCCATGATAGAGTCTCTGGGCATTTTCTTATTTTTTCCCCTCATTTAAAAACCTGAGCAGAAACCTCATTACATGCAAGCAAGGTCCTTCCTCATGCAGCATATATAGTGGTTCTCCTCCTCCCTGTCACTCACTTCTCCCTATGTCTTTCACTCTTGACAACAACAATAATAATAGCAGCATCCATTAATAGAATATCAGGCCCTAGGCTAAGCACTTTTCATGCATTTCTTATTTGAGAATCAAAACAACCCTACATGGCTGCTAGTATTTTCATGTTGATTTTACAGATGATGAATCTGAGATATCAAAAGGTTGGGCAATTTGCTTACAATCACATGCTATTAAGAAATAGCTTATATTCTGCCTATCCAATCCATATGTTAGGTCTGTTTTAATAACTCATCCCTTGCAAAGTGGGGTCATGTCCTGGAATCCCATGGGCTGGTTCCTGCCAGATTTCCCACTTGCCTAGATTGCATCTCCCCTCAAGATCTCCTACTACCTGTTCTGACTGCCTCACCAACAAACCAGCAAATGAATGCAGTTACTGCCAATTATCCTCCAAGGCAAATATATGTTTATGTCAGTTTCCATGACCAAATCTCCACCCCTATATGCTTTTTGGCCATTTTCAAATGGAGGTGTTATTCCTCTCTTTCGTCTCCCTCTATCGCATTTATTTATTTTTCAGTAATAAAAAAGTACCATGGGAAAAACATAAAATGATAATGAAGAGAATTCCTATCAGATTCCCGAGTTGGGGGGGCGGATTTCATAAACAAAAGGGTGATGTCAAAAAATCTCAAGTTCTCTTGCCCATCTGTTATTTCAGCTGCTGTTAGGGCTGGGGCTGTTTGGATAAGGCCAATAAGATAACAGGTGCAGGGGCAATGGACGGAGAATGTCTTTTGATTCTCAACGCAACAATGAGTTAGAGTTTATGAGCATAGAAGGACTCTGGTAAGGAACATAACCTTCCTGAGAATGTTGGATGTATTACTCCAAAGGGAGTTTGTTTTAGCAACACTGGAGCTACTAATATCGGAAGTAGAACAGAAGGCATTGAAGAGTTCGTGTTCTGTCAATGAAAATGAAGTAGGTGAATATACAAAAATCTTGAGACAGTGTATGAATGAATGATGGTTGCCTTGTAAACCTCTGGAATGCTAATTTGTTGATAGAGTTATAGGCTTTACAATTTCTTTCATTGCCCATTTTATCCACCTCTAGACTAATGAGTGTATAAATTTTCTGGTGATACTTCTAAAACCAGAGTGGGGTGGCAGAGAGAGTGATATTCCCAGGGATACATGAAGAGACAACATAAATGTGACATGCATTCTATTATACATTCATTTTGCTCTAAAATGTGGAGGCATGTTTTATATTTCAAGAAAACGATCATGTTACAAAATAAAATAAGACATTTGCTTTAGGCTACATCTCAGGTCCCTGGGGGTATATGGTCCCTGTCTAAATGGATAGGCCATTTCTGCAGAAAAGTGTGAGAGTGTGAAAAGTATTTTTCTACACTGTGTTTTTCACTTGTGGTGTGTGTCACAAATGATTTGTGGCTGACAATGTTTAAGGTGGTTGGCTAATATTTGTGAATGTTTTCCTCCTGCCCCCACCTTGGCCTTCCTCCTCCCCTCTTCCTCCTCCTCCTCAATAACATCAACACAGAGACAAACAAACGTGTCTCTGTCCTGGCTTCATCACTTACTTGCCAGGAAGTCATGGGCAGGTGTCTTACCTCTCTGGGCCTATTTCAAATCAGTCATAGACCTGGCCTCACAGCACTCTGCAGATTGAATGTGAGAACGTACAGAAAGCACGTACATGCCTGGCCTATGACAAACAGTTAATCCCATTACTATTAATGGCTAATCCTCCACATTCTCATTCACTGAAATGATGTTATAGTATTTCAGCAGAAGAGAAGGAGTGACAGACGTCCACGTGCACCTTGGTTAGGTAAGCCCATGAAGATGAGGCCACCACCTACCATGTGTGCCATGGCTTGATGGAAAATCTTGTTTCCACTACAACGTTTAGCTGGAACACCTCAGTGCCTGGCAGCTTACTTTCTTTCCAGGTGACCCTTTCCAACTTCTGAAAATTCTGGATCCCAGAAGGTTTGTCTTTACCCTGCAGCAAAATCTGTCTCCCAATAACCTCTTCCACCCACCACCCTCCTTCTTCCCCACCAGGATCACACACGACACATCTGACTGGTGGAGAACACGCAATAACCCTCCTTCTTCCAACTCTGTGTGTGGCTCGTGTATCATCTCCCAGAAGTCTGGCAGCCTCTCTTTGAGGCAGGGGCTGCTATTCTAAGTTTTCAGATAGAAAAATAGAATTCAAAGCCATTCATTTAGTTAAAAGGTAGGGAAGGGGGAATGGGTGCAACTGCTACTAACCAGATTATGCTTTTCCACTGAAAAATTTCTGTAATAAAACTGCATTTTCTCCAGGTTATAGTCAAAAGTAATGCTCAAGAAGGGCTCTTTTCTCAAGAAACTAGATAGATTTTTTTTTAAGAAGGACAAGTTAGTGGCCTCTGAGGGCTTTGCCAGAGGTTAGAACCTATTTCATGGTTAGTCTAAAAGTAGGATATTTTTGTCAAGTTGTTCATTTCAGCTGCTCCTAGAACCATCTGGAAAGCCTTACTGCCTCTTAAACTCCTTTACCTTCTGCGCTTCCTACTTCCAAACAGACCCTGAGCCCTCTCAATTCCCCTAACCCCAACGCCTTGAGGTCACCCTTTCTCTTTAACTCTGTTGCCACCAGCATCTCAACCTTGACCACTGAAACAGCCGCCATCTTACCTCTCCTGCCTCTAGCATCTCCCTTTTCCAGCCTTTACAGCATCAACAGAACATTCTTAGACACAGAGTCACTCCCAGCTCAGAATCTTCTCATTTAGTGCAGTAATGGAAGCTTGCTACCCACTTACTCTTTGTTTGGAACTCAAACTTCATCTGATCATTCTGGCCGTTTCTGATTTCTTTCAAAGAAATTTGAATGCCATTTTAAGTTTTTTTAAAAAAATTAACCATCATTAGTATTTAATCATCAATTCTTTAAACTGTATAGCAGATTAATTTTATGGTTTTTTTTTCTTTTTTTAAGAGGTGGCGTTTTGCTTTTTCCCCCAGGATGGAGTGCAGTGGTGCAATCATGGCTCACTGCAACCTTGAACTCTGAAGCTCAAGTGATCCTCCCATCTCAGCCTCCAGAGTAGCTGGGACTACAAGGGTGCACCACCATGACTGGCTAATTTTTCTTAGTTTTTGTAGAGACGGGGTCTCACTATGCTCCTCAGGCTGGTCTCAAACTCCTGACCTCAAGCGATCCTGCCGCCTTGGTCTCCCAAAGTGCCGAGATTATATATGTGAGCCACTGCACCCAGACTAATTTTACGTTTCTAACTAACAAATTTAAATGTGATGGGAATATTTAGCTATTTGGAAGGTTTTTGTGTGTGTGTGTGTGTGTGTGTGTGTGTGTGTGTGTGTGTGTGTGTGTGTATTCTTTGCATGCCTTTTTAAAAACCTTTTTCAACATTCACCCATCATTCTTTTGCAAATAACTCAAATGACATATCTGCTTTAGGTTTGCATTCTGGCAATTTGAAATAAAACTGCTGGTATTTCTGATTGATATGATTTGTTCAGTATTCTTTCTTAGAAAGTCATATTGATGGTAGATGTATATCAAATTTGGAGGACAACCTACAGTAAAATTTAGTTATAGATTATTAAATCATTATCTTAAAAACAATATATACATAAGGAGGCTAAGCGCCCTATGACATAAGATTAAATATTTAATACACACTTAAGTGCATAACTTTAAAGTGTTGGTATATGGTTAATATCATGATAGGCCAATTAAAACCCATCTGAAATCTGTAGGCAAGTCACTTCATTCTTTTGGGTCTGTTTTTCTATCTTTTAATTAGGCTATATGATCCTTGTTCCATACCAACGTGAAGATAAAATGAGAGATACAAAGGTACTATTGGGAGGAAAGGGAGAGAGAGACTCATTACACTATGGACATATCACATTTTGCTTCTTCTAGAAGCCTCTCTGAGCCCCCTGATTACTCATTATTGACCTCCTATTGTTTCCATATCATAGCATTAATTTATCATGGTCTTTCTCTCTCTGTATAACTAAACTATGCTATACTTCTTTACAATTTCATCTTCTGGAATAAAAATAGCAATTATAGTTTTAATTTGTTGTGTATGAATCATATGCTAACACTATGTCTCATGCTTTGTATGTGCAATCTCAACCCAAACAACAATCTCTTGAGTAATTATTATTATTATCCCCCTTTTCAGATGAGAAAACTAACACTTAGGTAGACTAAGCTACCTGCCTATAGTCACACTGCTTTTGTTATAGAGCAGGGACTTGAACCAACTCTGTCTAACTCCATCTCAAGACAGTGCTCTCCAGAGGTGGAAGTCCCCAGCTGCTATGAACTAGAAAATACAGCAGAATAGCAATCAAAAGACCTACTTTTGAACAAAAAAGAGTTCATATACAA